ATACATAAATATAAATGATGAAGAGCATACATAAATATAAACGATTTGAAATCCGGGTGACTGCAAGAACCGGGGAGTTGAGAGAAACTGCAACTTGTTGGTACATTTCTATACCCTTGCAACATGTATCTACAGAGTAATAATTTTGTTCGCCTACCGGTTGTTTTTAATCACCTAACACTCGGTTATATACACATATAAAAATGATGTAGAGACGAGTTCAAATCCGGGTGACTGTCTGTGCAAGCTGTAACTTGAGTAAACATTTAGATATCGTAATGTATGCTACGCCCACAAAACGCCATTAAACGAAAACCTGTAAAGTACCATAACTAAGCATTAAAAAAGAAGACTGTAATTTGAAACAGGATTGCAGTAGCAAGGGAAACCTGCGAAAATTTAAGAAAAATAGGCATGGCACTGCCCTATAAGAGGTTTAATGTATATATATCCTGAACCGTTCAAGAATATATAAAGGAATTCCCTCAGGAAAATGCGACAATGTGAAAATGCATGACATCGGATGATAACCCCACCCACTCCCCATATTACATATATTGAACATATAAATAAATGCGTCAGAAACATACGATTTTACACCCGATATCATAGAAAAGAGCTTTAAAGGAGCCGCTGTCAAAGTCGATGTCGATGGAACCGCCCACATTTAGGTGAAAACTCATATCTTGGGACTTGGTCGACCAATTTCAACCAAATTCGGTAGGTTGTATTATTTTGACATTCCTATGTCGCAGTACGAAAATGGGCTACAACCGCACCTACTTCTCATTATACACAATTTTAAATTCCATATCATTCTTTCACTTTCCAGTATACAAATTAAGTACCAATGAATGTATCGGCATAAAACTGTACTGAATACTGCCTCTGAAGTCTGCCAGCTAATGACTAAAAATTAACCAAATCGGACTAAAACTGTTCAAGACTCCATATACCAAATATATGGACCCCATTTCCTATTGCGAACTTTTTATCGAAAATATCAGCCAATCTGTGAGATAATTTATAGAAACTCAGAGGGAATCGTTATCTGATAATAGTATGCCCGTGTGCAAAAATGGGTGAAATCGGATCAGTAATTCCCTTAGTATTCATATACATTATAGAAAACATCCGGGTGATTTTACCGCAAGTGTTGGTCAATATCTTAGTTTTCTTAATGAAGTTAAAGGAGCGTGTTTTTTTAATAACAATGAAACTTTGTTCATAAAATGGATAAAATCGGATGAAAACTTACCCTAGCCGCCATATAACTAATATCAGGATTTTAAAACATCCGGTTGACTTGTTATCGCATATACTATTGGTGATGGTATGTGAGGTACCTTAATGAAACTCAGAAATCATCTTTTTCGATTAATAATAATTGGTAGTCGCAAAAATAGATAAAAGTAGTTCAATACCACCCCATACTTCTCATAAACCTAATACAAGAATTTCAAACATCCGGTTGGCTTTATACCGGTTATATATCGGTCAACAAGTAATATATCTTAACAAACTTAACTGAACGTACAATACTGGGCGTCCTATAGTTTAATTCCGAAAATATGTAATATTGGGCTACGTATTACCCAACCCCCCATATACTACATATAATGAGTTTCGTAATTCTAACAAATCCTATGCTGAAAATGACGGTCAATGTTTGAGTTATAAACTTATAAAATTGCTTGAAAATATGTTCTGGAATATCCGTACCTGAGCAATGTCAAAAGTTAGGGAAATCTGACCAGACCTTTACTGCTCCCAGTGTATCCTATATAACGATTTCCGACTTCCTACCTGTGTTTAAACCGTTCAGGTTGGTCAAAATGCGTAATATTTTAATAAATTTAAGTGGACAAGTTTCGGTGAAAATTATTTGGTTTATCACTGGAACTATGAATGAATTATTCTAGACCTTGGTTTAAACCTCATATTCCTAATATAAATAATTTCTGTCCCCTGGTTGACGTTTTCCACATCAGCGTTTTGTGATCGTGGCAGCGGTCCAATTACGCCCGTCTACAATATCAACCTTCTTATGGTGGCAGGAAACATGTACACCAAGCACATCAAGATATCTCAATTTTTACTTACGCTAAAGCTTGCACAGATAGAAGGACGGACAGACAGACATCCGGATTTTAACTTGTCTCGTCATCCTGATCAATTATATGTATATTACCCTATATCTAACTTGATTAGTGTGAGGGGATAAAAACAACTGTTTGGTGAACGAAAATGTTATAGTCTGTGGCAACATGTTGCAAGAGTATAAAAAAAGTAATTCAGTAAGGGGTATTTTTTCCATTATCATCAATCACGGCTTCAAGGCGGCGTGGCATGCTTTTCACTAGGTGTTTACAATTTTTCGGGTCGGTTCTTTCCCATTCTTCGATTACACATATTTTTAAGTCTTGTGGATTTTGAGGTGGAGGATGCCGCTGAGCTATTAGCATTTTTAATTTTAACTATAAATGATCGATTACGTTCTAGTCGGGCAACTGAGGTGAAGTTTCTTTCACTTTTGGGCAATTATAAAGCAGCCAGTTTCGTGCTATTCAAGATTTGTGTTTTTTATCATTTTGGTAAAATCAGAAAGTATCATTAATTTCCAATTTTTGAGTGCGGACTGGTACATTTTATTTGAGAATATCAATACATTTCGTAGCATTCATTATGTCATCACTAAAACATATAGTACCAACGCCACCTGCAAACATCCAACCCCATATGATAACAGAAGTACTGTTATACTCTTTGTTTGACATTGCGGTTGTATTTCTTGTTTGCTTTTCATCCAAACCAAGCAGATTAATTTTTAATAGTACCTTTAAAAAATTTAATATTACTATAGAATCTGACAGATAACCGTTCTTTGACTTTTTGTTTTTGATGTCATGATGCTCGTTTTATACACTTTAAATATAAACTGACAACATGACGACAAAAACTTCCAAATTTGCTTACACATTTGCACAAATTTGCTTACACATTGCGGGAATTATTCTTTTTAAAATCAGTACGTTGTCGCAGATATACAGCAGCCAAGTTCTTACCATAAGTGCTTTGTGTTTCGGGTAATTATCTTGTTACAATTTAAAATTATTACCTTCAATTCTAGATGCATAGGATCCATATGTCCACGAATAACAAATAGGTCTCCATCTCCTTTGAAAGAAAACAGGGAAACCGAAAGTTCACCAACTTTACAGTTGTAAATATATTTTTTGCTTGAAGGCCATTAAGGGTTGACGCTATACTCCATTAGGTATAATATTGTATATATACAATATTTATTTTTAAGGAGCAATAAGCTAACCGTTTCATGTGACGTTTTCAGACTCTAGCTTTATTTCATTTGTAATAGCTCTGCTGATATTTGGGGATCGTCAGACAATTTTTTGATTAATCGGCGCTCATTTCGGCCACTAAATATTTGTGACCTTCCTGATGAATGGTCTAACTAAATCTTTCTCAGCTCGATTAATTATATTCTAAACAGTGTGTTTGGTCAAGGAAAATTTCTCTGATATACATACATATGTAAGTTAACACCACCTATAATATAAATTGAATTATTAGGCATATGTGTAAAATTTGTCACATGATACATATGATCCGCCTTAAGTTGACTGAATATATACTTCTTAGAATGTAATTCCGTCGGGAAGTTAATTGGCGATCCTGCCAGGAGACTACAATATCTTTTCAGGACCAAGAAACAAAACATCAGTATAAGAGATGATAATATTTTAAAATAAAAAACCCCAGATTGTTTAATAGCCACGAAAGGAGGCAAAAATTTCCTCGACCAGACTACTCGTATAAAACAAGTATCACAAAACTGTGAGAAAAGTTAGAAAACCAAACGCTGATTCCAAAACGAGACATTTAGAAAAACAAGTAAGGAAGACTAAGTTCGGGTGTAACCGAAATTTTCATACTCTTGCAACTTGCAAGGAACAAAAGTGGATTAACACCTTCAGGTTTTGGCATAACTTTATATTAAACTAAAGAAAGTATCGCCGTGATTTCATTCATTTAAGAAAAGAGAATTTAAGAATTTCATTAAGATTTATTACATATTGACCGATAGATGCGGTACAAAGTGAACCGGAGGTTCGAAAATATTTGTGTTAGGTATATTTTGGCTAAGGGAAGTGTTGACTTGCTTTTATCCATTTTTGTCACAAGTTATAGTGCGATTTCGACAATTTTTGGACGTAAGATGAAATACCTTAAGGGCACTATTTGTGCATAGTCTTATTCTGATAACTCAGTCAGACGGAATTTAAAAGTTTGTTATATTATGTCTAATAAGAATGTTTGGGTAGCTTTACATACCTAATTTGGTTGAAAACGGTCTAGTAGTTCCTGAGATATGGAATTTACCTGAATTTGGTGCCACGCCTCTTGTCCAATTTTCACACCAGATTAGAAAAAGCCCTTCTATACTATACTGGTTGTGAAATTTAATGTTGTGGCTTTTTTATTCCGTGAGTTATAGTATTTGCAGTACTTTTCAACATAACCGTTATATGGGCAGAGAGCGTGGTTATTATCCGAATTTGCCCACTTTCAAAGTGTTTAAAGAGGTCATCAAATCACGCCACGCCCACTTTTAGAAAGTTTTTAGTCCACAGGTGTCACTGGCAACTGCGATCTCCTGCGCCAAACTGCGGTTTTAAATCTTAATTTGCGGCTTAGTTATGGCACCTTAAAAGTTTTCGTTTAATAGCGTTCTGTAAGCGCTGCGATGGTCCGATTGCGCCCATTTGCAATCATCCTTATCATTTATATTTATAGAGCCCTATATTTATCTCGATTAGTTTGATACAAGCAACCGTTAGGTCAACAAAACTATTATACTCTGTAACAACATTTTGCAATAGTATAATAAAAAGATTCTGAAATAATTTATGAATGAGGATTAACAAACTTATCTCCACTATTGTATATGTACAGTGTCTTCAAAAAATAACATTTCTCCTTTGCGTAATCGATTCCCAAAAAACAATTTTTATAATTTTTTTTTTCAAATTACCACATGTGCAATTGCGTGCAATCCTTTAAGTTTTTCTGGTCTTTGGTCTGACCATTATTGAGAAACTGGAAACGTAGATGAGAAACCAGGAAGAGGGAGGAATCACGTGACATTTAAAAGTGAGGACGAAGATATTTTTTTTCTGTTTGAAAAGAAACACGTCTAAGAGAAGACAACAACTTTTGTTTGAAAAGAGATGTATCTGCTCCAAATACAATACGGGACAGGCTTTAGAGATCTTTAATGAAAGCCAAAATTTCAAGAAAACATTCAACGTCAACAAAATATTTATGTGTTTATGGTATAAGCGAAAACTGGAGTTGGAGCATGTTTTGAATAAACGTCAGCTACTTGTATAACACTTTGGAAAACGTAAACGCTATTTTTTTAAACGCTCTGTAGCTTTTACAAATGAAAATTTTGGTGCGAAATTTGATAAATTGCTTATATACAGATTTAAGACAAAGGTAAATTAGAATACAATGACCGTTTTGTAGGTATTTCGAGTGCAACCGAAATTTGCTAGGTTCAAAAAAGGGAAATGTTTTCTGTTGCTAGTTAAACAAAGAAAGAAAAGCTAATTTGTGTGTGTAACCGAACATTTTATAGGAATTATATACCTAATTAATTCTAACTGTTGCTTATATCAGCTAAATCCAATCGGGATTTAATATTTAAAGAGTTTACCAACAAGATCGACGTGATGTTAAAATGAAATAAAGCACTTAAATTTGGTCAAAATGAGTTCTATTTTGTTTTTGTCATGCATTTAATTTTGTGCCACTTATTCTTTGAACAAAATGGTGGTCAAATGGTCACCACGGCTCCGTTTGCATATCTCCACCAGTTTACGCCTATTTTCGATGACCCGATGCAGCATTCGGCTATAGTGCGCTGAATGTTGTCTTCGATCTACTTGAGCGTTGGTTGATTGGTGTAAACCTTTATCTAAAGGCCTTAAATCGCAGGATCTTCGCAACCATTTGATTGGACCAGTTCTCGAAGTTTCGCAATTTCTTGCATAAAATTATTTTGACTTTCTTATGTTCTATTGTGAAGGAGAAATGTGTGGATCGCAATTTTAAATTCCAACGATTCTTTCACTTTACAGTATATAAATCGAGGAGAAATGATATTATCGAAATGAAATTTTGCGCGCAAAGTGTAGTTTAGTAAAAAATGTATAATGGACTCCCCCACCTTAAGGTGAAATCGTATATTTCAGGAACCCAATTCTAACAAAATCTCTTGTCCCGAAGCAACAGACCATAAAGCTAGAGCAGGGGCACAGCTATACTGATGCGATAAAAGTCGTCAGAGTGGCCGTGCTACCGAAGAACTTCCCGAAAGAGTTTCTGTTTCCGGATCAGCTGACTGAGATCCAAATGGCAATAATATATAAGGCGCTGGCCGAAATTTGGTGCTGATTGGTGTTACCAGGAGAAACATTTAGGCCTGGTCTACTCATCGTTGTCTGCAAAGACGACAGCACAGCTGAATAGCTAGCAAAAGTGATACCTAATCTAGGCGGCTGGTCAGGCGTCCAGCTAACCACAAAAAGCGGCGAAGAAATACCTCTTCGCACAATGTGACAATCCTTCTCCCTAGGAGAGCGAATAAGAGGCAAACATACGCGTTGGGGTTGTTGCTAGTCCAAAACGAAGGTTTATAAACCAGCCACTAGAAGGTGCTGGAAGAAAAGAACGAAGGAACCTGTCTGAAGCTGAACCTGTGTGTGGACGACGACTCGTGTATTAACATGACCAAGAACCATATACTCGCCAAATCACAGAATAATAGAATTTCGTTTAGGGCTATCAATAGACATAAATGAAGCCATAAAAAAATCCTTGGAAAACCGACTGGGCAAAATACAAAAAGTTATTAGACATAAATCTAAACAGAAATATACCAGCAAACAAAGCAAAAACTTTTCCAAGAACTAGAGCAGAAGGTAAACGACCTAAATAATAGTCTAATTGAAGTATTCAACGCTAGTTGCAAACTCTCACAGCCAAAGAAAACGAAAGGCGCTCCATGGTGGAACACACAACTAGTTAAGAAAATGAAAGAAGTCAGGAAATACTTTAATAAGCCGAAAAGAAACGGTAACTGAGAGGAAACTAAATCCAATCTGAGCAGCTACAATAAAGAAATGAGAGAAGCCAGTCGACTAAACTTCAGGAGCTTCTGGGAAAGCATTTCATCGATACCAGAAGCAGCTAGATTACATAGGGCACTAGCAAAAGATACAAAAGAAAGTAAAATGGCATTAAAGCAAAGAGACAACGAATATACAAGGTATGAAAGAACAATAATTCTGCTCAAGACAGATTTTCCAGGATCCACAACAAGTATCCTAAATAATCACAGGGAGGATACAGTCCCAACAACCAATACATGGTCGCTAGGTAAAAAGATATTTAGCTACAGATCAGTATATTGGGCAATAAGCACCTTTGGGAAATACAAATCATCAGGAATAGATGGAATATGGCCAAAACTCTTACAGAATGGTGAACTACAACTACAATAATATCAATGCTGGTGCACATCATGAGAGAAAGCATGGTTTTAGCTTGCATTAATACGGCATAGAGAATAATCCTAGTCAAGTTCATCCCCAAACCAGGCAAAACGAACGCTTAACATCCTTCAACCTAAAGGCTATGGAGAAGATTATTGACAATCACATAAGAACAACCGCCCTAAGGGAAATATTTCTACACCCCGCACAGCATGCATATAGAGAAGGCAACTAATACAGCGTTACTCCAACTTTCAGACATTTTAAGATATGCTATAAATAACAAAGAGATACCACTATGCGTTTTCCTAGATACGGAAGGAGCATTTAACAGCCTTATGCCTCATGCCTAAACATAGGTTAGCGAAAACGGTAACGGACAATGAAACCATTCAAATAGGAACCACAAGAGCATGCCCTCAAGAGGGTGTACTATCCTCACTCCTATGGATCTAAGTAAAAGACGCTCTACTAGACAGTCTGACAAAGAACGACATAAGATGATAAGGCTATGCAGATGACATCGTACAAAAAGCAGTAGAGAAATTTTAAAACACAGTGTGTGACATTATATAAAGAGCGCTCACACTAACAGAGAAATGGTGCTCGGAAGCAAGACTAAGCATCAATCTAACTAAGACTGCTATAGTGCGATTTACTAGGAGACATAAAATACACATGAAATATATGCGAGTAAATAATATAATAATAGAACCCATTCTCGAAACGAAATACCTAGGTATATCTTTCGACTCCAGAATAACATGGAAAAGTCACATGGACCAGGCGATCAGTAAAGCGACAAGGTCACTGGTAGTATGTCGAAAAATAGCTGGAAAGACCTGGATAATACATTGGATGTATACTACGATAGTAAAACCGGTAATCACATATGAAGCAATTGCCTGGTCAGAAAGAGTAGAACTAAACACAACCAGAAAGGAACCAGGGAAACTCCAAAGACTGACGTACGCCTGTATAACAAACTGCATGAAAACATGACCCACAGTGGCACTAGAAGCCCTACTTGACCTCACTCCCCTCCACAATATAGAGCTTTCGCCAAAGAAAATCCTATTAACAATAACGAATAAGGTGCAGGAAAAGGAAAGATTGTTACATCCAAAAACGCAGCAGAAATACGGGAATACGATTCCCCTATCAAGCTTTAACAGGGACGAAATATCGAAGACCATACATTTTAACTTCAAATTCAGCATAGCTCTAGGAGATAAGAGATCGTGGAGGCAACCACAGATAAAGGAAGAAATAAAACCACACTCACAGGTGTTTGTTTTTGATTATCTTATAATATGTTTAAATCTTCTGGTGAAGTAGCTGTTTATAAGTTGTTTTGAGTATCTGATTCCTTCGCTACTTAACCAGTACCTATTTATTTCCTTTTCCTTTTTTTTTCTTAACTCCGCACGAGGTTATGACGAATACTTCTGCTTCGGAGATGCTAGGGCATTTACAAATGGGGTCCTGTTTGTTCTTGGGCCCGTAATCCCCCCATGGTACACAGATGGATCAAAAACAACATTCCTTCTATTGGAAGGAATCAGACACACAAAACAACTGATGGACAGGTACTTCACCAGAAGATTTCAACATATTAACTTATGTGTCAAAAACAGTTTAAGAATACTAACAGGATTTCTTACAGGACACTGCAGACTGCACATGCTATTGGAATGCGATACGGTGACCAGAAGAAGGCTTGCGCATTTAGGATGTACGCAGCTGAAGCAACATCATATTAATACCATCAACTCCTCAAGTATCCTTTAGTTTATAAGAGCATAGATGAAACAATATGAGAAGGTTAGGGTACAATAGATTATTTTCGCGTTTGAGATCGGTTCCAAATTGCAAACAATTTATATGAATAGTGTTTTATAAAACTCTGAATTCATTAACTTGACTCAACTAATAGTTACTATTGATAGTTGTATTGTATGTGGATGTACTTTTCTATACATTCATTCAAAGTATGTTAGTTTTTTGTGATATGACTTTAATGTTGTTCCAAGTTAGTCAGAAAAAAAGAATAATTTGACTAAAATTACTAGTTGAAATAAAAAAAAAACCGATAAAGATTAAATAGTATATTTTATGTTGATAATATAAAACAATGCTATATATAAAATTCTCGTGCCACGGTGTTTGTAGCTAATCTCCTCTGAAACGGCTTAATGTTAAGGGTGGTCTTTAATTATTATAGTTTTCTTTTTTGGACAAAATTTTAGGTTTTCATTTTTTCGGGACATTTCTAATTTTAACCTCCGGTTGGTCGTATCCCCTGGTTTCGCATTCTTATACTCTTACAACATGTTGCTACGGAGTATGATAGTTTTGTTCACCTAACGCCACATGTTCACAGGAAATTTACGTTGCTAACCACGATTGCCATAGAGGTTTCCAATGTTTTTGTTTGGGCATTTGGTACCATGAAATATTCATTCTTGAAATGGCGTCGAGTAGGTCTGTTCAAGCTGATACAGCGCATGTTTGAGCTCTTGATCATTGATTTCAAATTTTATAAGGTTGACAAAATTGTATGTGGAGGATGAATAAAGTAGAAGTCTAAATTTTTCTGTGTGTTTTGGAAAAATAAGATTTCATATTTTAATACTTAAATAATTGTAATAAAAGTTTATTTACCAATTCAATAATTAAATATGAGTAATTATATTATATATGCTCACATTAGTTACCAATTCAGATTTTTAGCAATCCTTAATTGCTGTCGAAATGCCCCGTAACGATTGTTTGTATGACCTATCGAACCAAGGCCACGCCATTAATTGAAAAGCTATGAAATGCTATACCTAATTACTGCAATTTGATTGCAGTAGTGTTAAAAATAAATTATAAAAAATGGGTGTGGCCTTTCCCTTTAATAGGTGTATTAGGTACCGCTCACATTTAGATGAATTGACATATCTCTGGACCTACATGACTAATTTTAACCAAATTTAGTACATACCCAGACGATCCTATTTTACGTTGTCAAAATGAGCGCAGTTGGACTACAACCACGCCTACTTCCCACATAGCACAATTTTAAATTCCATATGATTCTTTCACTTTCCAGTACACTAATCAGGTATCTATGAATATATTCAGATCAAACTTGGCTCATGCTTCCTAAAAAATTGTGCCAAATATATTTACTTGCCTTTGACAAGGAGATTTAATTCCTCTCTTAAACACGTTATATTTCTTCAATGTGGAAACAGTCATTTATGATCCCTTTGCATAAAAGTGGATTTAGATCAAACATTGAAAACTATAGAGGTATCGCAAAACTATTAGTTATACCTAAACTTTTTGAAGCTATCATCACTGACCCTATAACCTTTTCGATTTCTCCGTTAATTTCCTCATCTCAGCATGGATTTTGTAAATCGACTCTAACAAACTTGCTTAAATTTGTAAACCGTGTATCATTGGGTTTTAAGGAACATAAGCATACGGATGTAATATACACAGACTTTAGCTTTCGATAAAGTAAATCTCGCGATTCTCCTACATAAACTTGATCTGCTGGGCTTTCAGCCAAGATTTTTTCATTGCGTAGCTTCCTATCTTTATAATAGAACACAACGAGTGATATTTAAGGATACTCTTTCAGATACAATTGATATCTCTTCAGGTGTTCCGCAAGGTAGTCATCTTGGCCCAATTCTGTTCTTGTTGTTTATTAAGTATTAGAATTCTCAAAAATTGTATTATACGCTGACGACGTAAAGCTTTTTAAACCATACACTTCAACTTATGAAAGGTGTCTGTTGTAAACAGACTTGAACAATTTGGTTGCATGGTGTGATAGAAATGATTTGCCATTGAATCTCAATAAATGTAAGACGATGTGCTTTTCCCGTAGATCTGTGCACCCCTCTTCTTATGTAATAAAACACCATATTCTAGAGCAAGTTTTAAACTATGTTGATTTGGGAGTTAATATGGACCCTAAGCTTAATTTCAGTCTTCATATTGATACCATGGTCTTGAAAGAAAAAGCTGTCCTCAGTTTTGTTAAACGTTGGTCTAAAGAATTTAGAGATCCGTATATTACTAAAACACTTTATACAACTTTGGTTAGACCTATATTGAATATGACTGTTGTGGAACCTAGCTACCAAATCCATTCTGACAAGTTAGAGTCGGTTCAAAACAATTTTACTTTCGCCTTAGCGCATTTCTGATGGGATAGCGTAAGTCTACCTCCATACACTAGTCGTTTAAAACTTATTAATCTACCTACACTTTCTAGTCGTAGGAAATGCTTGCATAACATTCTTAGTGAAACTTTGAATGGAACTGTTTGCAGTTCTTTTCTCCTGTCTGAAATTAAATTTAATATCCCGGTTCGCCTTCGAGGCAGTTTAGACCTTTACTGCAAAATCCTGTAGATCAAATTTGAACTAAACGAGCCATTTCCGTATATCATGATTTTAATTCTCATTCAGCACATTTGACTTATCGACTCACTTTTCAAAATTAGACTTTATTGTTTCTCTTAATAAATGAAAATGTAACAATTATTATATTGTAACTTTAGATCTTAGCTGTTGAAATTTTGTTTCTGTAGCTGAGAGAGTTTAGATCTCAACACTTAAAAACTCTCTTCCTTTTCTGACTGGCTAATTCCGCACGTATGTCGGTTGGCGGAGAGGAATCGTTGTTATTATTATGTATTTACTATCAGATTTTCAAGATTCGTCTGACTTTAACATAGATTGATTATGAAATTTATAAAATTGGGTTAATACTACCCTTAACTTCTACATACTACTTTTAATGCTTTTCGATATTCTAACTAGTTTTATGCCGAATATGTCGGTCAGTGCGTATTAATATTTATTTTTATACTCCCGCAACATGTTGCTACAGAGTGTAATAGTTTTGTTCACCTAACGGTTGTTTGTATCACCTAAAAATATTCGAGTTAGATATAGGGTTATTTATATATAAATGATCAGGACGTCCGCCTGTGCAAGCTGTAACTTGAGCAAAAATTGAGATATCTTTATGAAACTTAGTACACATGTTTCTTGGTTACGTAAGACGAGTGGTATTGCAGATGGGCGTAATCGGACCACTGTCACGCCCACAAAACGCCATTAATCAAAAACAAATAAATTGCCATAACTAAGCTCCACAACAAGATACAAGACTCTTATTTGGTATACAGGATCACACTAGAGAGGGGCATCTGCAGTTTAAATTATTTTTCAGTGGGCGTAGTCCCGCCCCCTAATAAGTTTAAAGTGCATATCTCCTATACCACTGAAGCTATATGTAACAAAATTCACTGTGAACAAATGTTTTTAGCATCTCTATCGACGGTGTGAAAATGGGAGAAATCAGTTGACAACCCCTCTCTTCTTCTCATATTTCTATGTTATAGTACGAAAATGGGGGAAATAGGATTCCAACCACGCCTATTTCCCATATAACATAATTTTTATTTCCACCTTATTTTTTCACAACGTTTGTATCGATGCTTGGATAATGCATTTAAAGTATGCCACCTTGTGACGGTAAATGTGTAAGATATATAAATGAAATTCATATAATAAAATAAATAAATAAAACTCTCGATAATAGTATGTTTTTGTGTCAAAAGTGGGTTGAATCGGATCAATACTTCCTATAGCCCTCATACACCTAATATAAAGATTTTTAAACTTTCGGGTGACTTTATACATATATTTTACTTATAACAAGGTATCTGTTGTGCCTAAAATGGAGCAAATCGGGTGAAAAGTTTACTTAGCCATCATGTAACTAATATCAGGATTTTCGACCATTCGTCTCACTTTACTCCATGTGATTGGTGATTGATATTGCTATGTGAAGTACCTTAATAAAACAGTAGGAGCATGTTATTAGTCTGTGGCATGTTAGTAGTATGTGGTATTGGTAAAAATAGATAAAATCGGGTTAATACTACCCTCAACTCCTACATACTACTTATAATGCTTTTCGTTATTCTAACCAGTTTTATGCCGAATATGTCGGTCAGCGAGTATTAATATCTATTTTCTGAAACGAGAGTAACTTTGCGAGAGTATAAAATGTACGGTTCCATCCGAATCTTTTGTATTTAACAACGTTGAATTAACAATTGTATATTTTGCCCATGGAATGGCACATTTAATATTAATAAATCTTTCTTTAATTATTCTTATTCTACTTCCAATACTTAAGGCTAATTCGTTTTCGATACTATTATCTGTCTTAATATAATTAGATATTTCATTTTGTTTATTAAATTATTAATATTTTTATTAAATGTTTCGGTAATGAAAATTTGTTTGTTGTTTTTATTATTTAATTTGTTTATATGGTTACTTATGATTTCAACATCGACATAATCTGGACTACCGGCAATATACATACATATTTCCATGCCGTCCCAATAAAATTAATTGCCCTTTTACTTCGAAAGTTTTGCATTGGTTTTACATCTTTTAGAATTTCTACGGCTGCGTGATTTACGTATTTCGTGATTTAAAAATTGGTAAAAGATATCTTTCTGGTATTTTCCTGTCCACGTTGATTTGAGCGTTGTTTAATTATAGCTTCTAATTGTTTTGCATTTTCGTCTCTATTTCTGTGTGCACGTTTATGTTCTTCTAATATTCTTTCGTTTTGAATGTTTTTGTTCGTAATGTCATCAACTTTCTTTTGAGTATATCCAGTTTTATAATTAAAAACTGAATTGGGTATATTCGTTGAATTATTCCCATTATTTCTTCGGAAGTAAATATACCGTTTGTTACCGAGGGATTTACGTAACGTTTAAAAAGTGAAAGTTTTTCTGAGGAAAATGTTTGTTTAATTATTACATGTCTATGGTATGTACAGAATGGTATTTTAAATTGGTAACTATCTTCGTCTCCTAATGAGATGAGCTGTCATCTGAATGTGTGGCTACTGATAAAGAATTTATTTAAAATGGTCTTAAAGGGTATCTGCTACGATATTGGCTTTGCCGGGTTTATATCTTAATTCGTAATTATACTCTTTGAGTGTGGCTTTTCATCGTTTTAATTTAGAATAACTATTTTTAATGCTT